ATGCATGAGTGCACACACGCAATGATATATGCATAAACTGTGTGTTGCCGAGTTGTTCGTGCAGCGTGTATGTGTATTGGAGGGCAGCGTTACAGCGCTGGGCCGTGGGGAACTAAACCCTGGCAGAGGCCTTTAGTCGCCTGGTAAAAACATGTTCCTGAGACCTTCGTGTCTTGTCGTCACGTCGTACACAGAGGACTCCTCACTCTGTCTCCGCAGCCGATGGTGATCAGGTTGCATCTTGGATTTCCATCTGAGCCACCCTCTAATCTCATGACAGTTGAGCGTGAACGGAACCACTTCTCAGTCCTGTAAGGTCACGCCCTCACAGGCGTTAGCACAGCACATGTTTATGTGTCTGAGGTTTGGGAGCATACACTGAGTGACGTGAGGCACACTCTCGCTGAGATTGTGATGTAATTATGAGCATACTGTGGTTAATATAATGTTTTAAAGAGTCAAACACCTCCTTGTTTTTCAGGCTGACTGTTGGGCAGATGACATGACAAATGCCTCACAAGGACAATCAAAATAACTGCATAACTGTTAACCTGCTTAACCTTTTAATGTTGTTGCTCTGGAGACTCACTAACAGAAATCATGATGACACTGTAGCATAAACTATTGCTTTATTTTACTTAAGGTTCTGGAAATTTGTTTGTATTTTATCACACCTGAACATCTAATAAAGATCAGAAGATGTAGTTTGAATGCATGAGGCAAGAAAGTGTCACAAAACAAAAATTCATCCTTATAAAATTACATTTAAATAATATATTACAAAGTATTACTAGCAGTGTTTCGCACCTAAAATGAAGCTCTTTATGTGAATTATAAGTAAAACTAAAACTGCATGAATTCAGTACATCTTTATTTAAGACCCGAGGACCAGAACAAAGTAAAACTCAGGTAATATTAGCCAATCCACAATTCAAGTCAGAAATGACACCTGTAACATCCTAGCCTAAAGGTCTAGGATGCAAAACACTTAGCTGCACTATCCAGCTTGAGACCATTGCAGGTCAACGCTCCTCTTTCTCCAACATGGGAAATGTCATTAATAAAGGCTAAAGTAGTGACTAACATCCAGCAATAGGACATGAATCTTCTACTACCTGAGGCTTGTATGCAATAAGTAAACAAGTCAATCTATGGATACAAGACCCAACGACATATGTGCTGTGTTTTAAAAAGTTCATTTCTGTTACCTAGGTTGTGTATGGCTTGTACACACAGGGTCATTTTTGGGGGTAATAAAGGGGGTTGGCATTGCCTTTATAATGCCAAAAACTATGTGTAAACATATTTTTAACTGGAAAAACTACAACAATTTGTCTCCCTGCATCCCCTTGTTAAAGCTCAACAAGTCACCCAGTGCTTGTAAATACCACAGCAGCACAGTCAGGATCGTGGTGGAGGGCGCTGCCAGAGGCTGAGTGCACTTCATGGGTATCTAGTGGCACTTAGTGGTGGACGTGTGCAACTGAGAGGCTTCAGCCTACAGCACTGAGGGCGCATGTGTCCAGCAACACACATGAGCATAAGGCATTCTTGGCATTTCTGTGATACTGCAGTGTCGGCTGCTGTTCAGTGGCAGACAATCATTATGGAGCTTGTTTACAAACACATGCAAACACTTAGGCCTGCTAAAATGACCGAGTGATGTAATGGAAACTATGAATGCACTGGGGTCTGCTGCTGCCTCAGTAGGAACACAGGACAAAGTATAAAATTGCAGCTGCAGCACAATGTCAGCGCATTTTCATCTGGGCATAACACCACACAAATAGAAAACAGTCATTTTATTTTGCCAGTGAGACAGTGTCCCATTGTGACTGACCGTGGCACCAAAATACTATAAGCAATTTTTAAAAATCTATACAGACTTTCAAGATTATTCTTCTTTAGTAAGAAGATGAATTAAAATAAAAAAGTTGAGTTAGTGCCATTTAAAATGATGATTCTAACCAGGCACTTTACATGTAAAAAGATTCTATTTAAAGACATTTGGGTATTTTCAAGTATTCAGAACTGTTTTGCCCAGGTGTACATAAAGCCTTTTAGACAAAATACTTACAAAATGATGCACAGCTTGGATTCCCACATAGCGTCGCAGTCGCATCCTTTCAGTCTGGGCTCATTCAGCTCGTCAAACACGCCGCTGTCAATCATCTCCTTCTGCCACCGGATGGGGACCGCCCCTGTGCTGAACTCCTGGAAAAATTTCTCATCCTTGGCATCGAGCTCAATGTCCCGAACCTCGGAGGTGTCTCTGAGCTCTACCCTGTCCTTGTTGTAGATCACATTGGACTTTGGCACCCAGGGGGGCTCCACCAACCCCGCCTCCAGGCGATGGAAATTGATACTATTGAAAAATATGTGGTTTCGTGGGTCACCACCGCTAGTGTTGGAAAGACACAAAACAGATGTTTAATGACTGAACTGATAGTGAATGGTATGTTACAAAGACAGAGGGCATTTGAAATCATTACAATGGGCAGTAAATGTGTTAATTTGCGGGTTTAAAAGTTGCATCAAAAATCTATGTGACGATATGCCATACTACAGGAAATTCTGATAGTTAAATAGAATAATAAATGCCTCATTGCACAGCACCTAGACAGAGCTGTAGTAAAGAGAAACAACTGCTTAAAGTACACATAAAATCAAGATCAACAAATATGCAATACCAATGCACAATAGAAAAAAATAGAATAAAAGTTACAAAAGAAAAGTAATTAACACTGTCCATGTCACTGAGCTGTGGGCAGTGTTTTTCAGAGCGTTAGGCCAAATGATTTTTTGACACTTGAAAAAGTGAAACTATCCAGTACTACACAAGAAGTAGTCAAGAAAAATCAGGAAACTGCATTTTTGTAGAGCAGAAACACAACATGCTTTGTCATCTTTTCTGTTAATCTATCTCATGATTCCTTCAAGGTGGCTCTACCTGCAGGTTGGGAACCACTGATCTAGACTTAAACTTAGTATAGTGCTCCATCATTTCCTGGACAACAGTATGATTTCATGGGTAGACTGGACGTTTTACACATTCTGCAAGATTTCATTTTGTCAGTGTGATTTGTTCCATCATATATATATCAACTAGCTATGAGAAAATTTATGTTTTTACTCACTCACAACCGAGGCGCTGAGCCACCTTCTTCTTGAGAAAGCATCTGATGATATCTTTAGTGGCAGCGTCAAAGTGTTTGTGTTTAAATTTGCAGGTGTCCTCCAGAGTGCGGCGAGTCACCTCCTCATTCAGAACCTTTTCCCTAAAGTCTTTAAAGGGCAAACGAGCAGCCACCATCTCATAGATGCTGCAGCCCAGAGCCCACCAGTCCACAGACGTGCGGTAATACTCCTGCTTCAGGATCTCAGGAGCCATGTAACCAGTCGTACCAGCCTGACAACACACGGGAGAGAGAGAGTAGGATGAGGGAGAATTTAAAAACTAAACAAAACTTAAGGCATCTTCATTAGTCTGGGGTAAGACTTCAGCAGTGATGTTCACATCTGGTTAAATTCTGGGACAAAGATTTTTGCCTGCAGGAACCACACAAATAATTTTAGAAGAAGAAAGGGAGTCAAAAAAGGAGTGAGTAGGTTGATTGTGTTTTGGGGGGCTTATTATTATTATTATTTTACTTTTTGCTGTAGAACGTTAGAGTCAGCTGTGATCATTTTCTTAAAATTACAAAAATAATGAATATTATAACCCATAAAACAAAAATGGTTAATGTCTGAATGTTTTATGCTTTGGCTCTTTTGTTATTAATGGTAAATGGAGTTGTAAATATACTGTTGTATTATTCTGATACTGAGGATGGTATTGAAAATCAGGTCTTTATTTTTTAAGTGAGACAAACAGTTTATCTCCCCTCCTCTCTCCAGTCCAATAATTTTGGTACAGGGCCCAAGTGCAGGCTTTGTAAACCATAACATACAGCATGCAACAGGTGATAGAGGTCACAAGCAGACATTGCCAAAAGGGTTGTGAACCTCTGCTATAATCTGTAGCATAGAACACACGGTGAGAAACAAAGATTCAACACAAGATTACACATAGCTGAGTGTAAATTTGTATGATCTGCCCTGTTTGCCTAGTTTATTTAGTGCAGTTCTGTCACTTGTGACTGCAAATGAAAATGAGCTTTGAGCTAACAGTATAACAGATCAAAATTCATTTCAGTTACACTGTATGCAGCAGACTATCTTGACCAGCCTCTACATAATGGAAAACAAAATTAAAGTAAATAACGCAATATGGAGACACAAATATAGGCATGAGGAGATTAACCGTGTAACCTGGTCAGTTGTCCATACATTTCTCCACTGGTGCAGCCTATAACTGAAGACGAGGTCAGGCACCTTTCAACAAGATTAATTTGGGTCACACAGGGTTATACTCTTTCGTGTTGTCTGTCACAGCAGAGATATTTATTTCTGGTAAGCTACTTGTAGGGGATGGGTGAACAACTATATTGTACAGTGGTATTACAAAGAGAGCCAGTACCTTTCATGGGAATGACAAAGTATTTATGTTACTGTGAAGGCCTCAGCCCTGGCCTTCACCATGTGAGGGCCTAAACCACCACCAGCAGTAGAATTAGGTAGGTAATGTTCTTTTGTTTTCTTTGTTCATGTGTGTAGATTTAAGATGTAGGTAGATGTCAGGCATTTGATTTGATATTGAACATACATAATTAATGAAGCTTGCACATTAGGTTAATTTTGTATTGTCAATGTGTGTACATTTTCTTTTTGAGTTACCATGTTTCTGGTCCATGGATAGCGGTGGTCCTGACAAAAAGATTGGACTAAGGCAGCAGCAAACTTAAATACCTCCCATTAGGCCTGGACTGCACCAAGTGCCCAATACAAGATGGGGGGGAGTGTGGGAGAAATATATTTATTTGTTTGTAGTTTATGTTAAAACTTTATTTGTCAAGTTATGTTATTTCCTTTACATCTAACAAAATATATTTAGTTCTTGGCAGACTGTCTATTCAGTGTCCATTGGTAGATTATTTAGATGGAGTCTTTGTCTATTCCCTGTGTGTATTATTGGTTTGGCCAGCCAGTATATGTGTTTCCCTATTTGTTAGGTCAGTTGCATTTTGTTTCAGGTACTGTGTAGTTCAGTTTACTGTATTTTGAGTTTCCTTGGCTTTTGTTGACCTCTTTTAGGGCCCAGTTTATTTGATATTGATGTTTGTATTCTTCCCTTATTTTTGGGTGAATAAAAAGCCCATCTTTTTTTGGAACTTTAAAAGCTGTGTCCTCTGCCTTACTGTTAGGTCCCTGACAGTTACTGAGACAAAAGACAAATAATCATGGAGGGCCATAACCAGCCTGTTTTGACCAGTATGATCATGTTCAAATATGCCAAGACTTCTCAGCCCAAACCACAGGGAGCCTTCACAGGGCACTACAGCACAAACATCTGTGACTAACCTTCTGGCAGGTTATTTTACCCTTTGGCAACTCCACAGCCAGTCCGAAGTCAGACAGCTGACATTGTCCTTTTCCATCTAACAGCACATTCTCAGGCTTCATGTCACGATACACAATGTCCATAGAGTGTAGGTGGAGGAGCCCAGTGGTGATCTGGGCTGTGTAGTAAACAACACGCTCCATAGACATACCCCGCTCCCCTAACTCATAGATATGAAACCTGAGGTCTCCACCATTCATGAGGTCCATGACCAGGAACAGGTGGGTCTTGTTGTCATAAGCATAAGCCAAATTCACAATAAAGGGGCTGTTGACTTTCTCCAGGATCTGCTTCTCCAGAAGGGCCAGCCTCTCAGCACCCCCTTTCTTTAAACGCCTTTTGTCCATCTTCTTGCAGGCGTACATTTGGCCTGTGTGTTTCACTTGCACCCCACACACCTGCCAGACAGAGCAACATCACTTTAGAATTTATTGAAATTTTATTAGTTGGTACATTTCTGCTACTCTTTGCTGAAATTTTGAGAGACTATGTAACCTTTACTGAATAGTAGCCACTGGGGCTATATGTGTTAATTACAGGATAATGATACATGCTAAAACATAACACAACAGAAGCACACTAGGGAAAACTGTAACAGAAATATCAAGCTAAAGCTGCTAACATAAACTGTAACCTATTGATGATACCAGACTATGCTAGGTTGCAGTAACACCTTAGTGTATTAAATTGAGCAAGGGTGTCTTTAATTGTTCAGGAATTTACAATTTTATTCAGATGCTGGGATTTCTGGCACCTACCTCACCAAAGCCACCTCTTCCCAAAGTCCTAAACTCATAAAAGTATTTGTCACTGATCTTCTGCTTCTCCAGCTCCTTCCACTGCAAGAACCTATAAAAGAATGGGCTTTTCAGGTACTCAGAGAAAGGTTTTCCCTTCAGGAAGTTCCTTGACGCTTCTCTAATCTGGGCTAACGTCACCTCAGCAAAGTTCTTGTCTGATAAATCCTTGCACTTGTCAGCATCTTCTCCCATAAGGTAGGAAAGGAAGCTCCTGGATTCAGGTTGACAGAACTTTGTGAGAATGCTCCTTTTAACCTTCTCTCTGGTTTCACCCTCAGCAAAACTCCAGTCATTCAGCTCTTCCAGGAACTCAGTGGCTGCTGCATATTGTGGTTTAGAGTCCAGGAGAAACTGCTGGAACAACTTTCTACCAATTGGTTGTTGCTCACAGAGTGATTCATACGTCTTCTCCGCTGCTGCCAGCAGATCAGAGGACTTCTTTGGTTTGGACAGCGTCAAGGAGATTCTCTGTTTTCTCAACTCAGCTGAACCTTAAGGTAGGCCGTGTTGGCCACCAGGTTACCCAGTCCCACCAGATCAACCATGCTGGATGTATTCTGGGACATACCTGTAGGCAACCGGGAAACTAAAACAGTAGGTTTCACTCATTTGCAGCTTTCAGGCACAACTGAGCACCTCAACCACCTACATCCTGAATACCCTCCACCTTTTGTACCACATCCCTCTGAACATTAAGAGTACCACTGTCCTTAGGGATTTGTCAGTGAGCCACTCAGAGAAAGCAACCTATGCGGTTTGAACTTAAGAGGCTTTAGGTTGGTCTATTTTTAGGAGATTCAAAGACACTGTGTGTGGAAATTGGGTTGCCAGCATGACACGGCAAGAGGAGGTAGCAGGTCCTGACCGTAAGTTATGGTTGATTGTATCTTGTTATGAGATAAAGAGCAATGAGCAATATTAAGACAACAAAATTTGAAAAGTAGACTTTTTTAGTGTCACTGCTTTCATTAATATTCCTTCTTGCCTTGTGAAGATGGTTAGAGAAGACTGGATTATTTGTTGTGACACTTTCAACTGACATGGACAAAGTAGCATGAACACTGGTTTAAATGGGCCCATCTTTTACTACTACTTTTCAGAGCAGAATCTCATTTATACAAAACATGATCAGTCTCTCAAACTTCTTATCCGAAAGGCGGTATCTTTTGGCACTAAAAATGTTGTTGCCAATGCTGAAAGGCCACTCACAGCACTGGCTGGGGCACTTGTACGGAGCTTTATGAAAACAACTGGCATTTTTGGCAGAAAAAACAAAAATAAAATATCATTCCTTTCCTTTTATGGCTCAAAATTATTTGCAGTTGCAGTAATTAACTACACAAAAAATGGCAAAAATTTAACCACTTCAGTCACTACACAACTATGAATGTAGTTTAACTACCACCAGTAACTGCAAAATGTAGTTAAACTGCTAGTTTAATTACATGTAGTTCACTACTTTCCAGCACTGTTAACTCTGTTATCTTTTGAGTCCACTATTTATGGTGCTGTTGTGTTTGTCATACAACTGAAGCTGTACAAATGTAGTACTTATTCAGTGATGGGGTAGCATGAATTAGAATTGCATTACATGGCCGGCTTTATGTCATCTCTAACTGTTACCATACCAGGGAAACATTAGTTTAACATTGGCTGAAAGACACTGAGAAAGAGTGCCTCCTGTTCACTTCCTTCACATGGTCAAGAAGGTTAAAGTAGTGACCTTCTGATCATTGCTCTTCTCAGAGTTCTTAGAATAAGCTTCATGTCTCAGTGAATTACTCCAGTCAGTCTCCCCCACTCATATGGAAACTCAGCAGCTCAGCAGTTTTTCAGAAGGAACACAAGCTGTTCTGCATCAGTCTGACTCCAAATTCCACAGAGCATTTTATCATGTTGATGTATTCAGTATTGTAGAAAAAAAAGTTCGATATTGGCATATTCTCTGTAGCTGTAGACACGTTCCACATTTATCACATTAAGTTTGGTTGATCCAAAATAGGTTAAGCTTGAAACTGGAACAAGGCCAACCTCATTATAACATGCACTGTATAATGAGCACCAGTGGGAGGGTGGTTAGCATAGCTGCCTTCCTAGTGGTTTGACTGCTAAAGCACCTATGGCAGTAAGATGAATTTAACTAGGCATTTTCATTATTAGGAATTGTTTGGTGAATAGTACGTCTCTATTAGCTCCACAGATGATGGCCCCTCTCTCATATAATGATTCAGATGTACAGTAGATAACTGGTTACTGTAGAGTTACACTGATGGCTGATCAAATAGTGATTATGATATAAACGGGGGCAGAGCACTATTTCATACTTTCAAAAGCACTTTTTCTAAACAAGTGCATGAACACTGCCTCAAGCCTTTTATGCTCTGCCCTACCAGTACTACTTCAGTCTTTGTGCTACTAACAAAACTGTACTATTGATACTTAGAGAATATATACATTTTTCCAGAAACCTTTTTCATGACAAAAGTGAAGCCAGCATTTGTCTTGTTAATCAGAAACTGAGACATGTGAAGTTAAAAAAAAAAAAAAAAAAGCTGTCTAAACACACAGCTGTAAAAGAAATCAGTCTACAAATGTCGAAAGTACAGTTTCAATCACAAATTGTGTGATGAGCACCAGCCTTGGCAAGAATTTAAAGCCAGAGTTTGTTATTTGAGAATTATAAATTCTTTGCAATACAGCCTAATTCCTGTCATCTAAAAGTATTAAACTTTCACAACCAGCCTCTTTTTCACATGTGGAATCGAATACAAAACATTTCTTGTGGAACTACTTATAGCACCAATTTCTACAACTCATCTGACTTATTTATAGGCTTTATATACTGCTGAACATAGTGAAATTACTAAATTAAAAAAAGTTTACAGCTATACACATTTTTTTATTTTTAAAAAGACAGTCACATATATTATGATGTGCCAAACACCACCACAAACAAAAACATATAGCTAACATATGACCAAACACTGCAGCAAGTTCAGTTCATCTCATCATAACTCCTTGATCCCTCCAGCAGCATCTCCCAACTGACGACTAATATGCCTGCGGTGCTTAAATTTTTTCCGCTGTCCTCCTCTGACAGTACAACTGGAACATGCAATCATAATTAGGAGGGCAGTTATCAATGTCAGTGGCTCTGCATAGGAAGATGCAGTGATCACTGTCAAGTCTGCTGTCACCACTTTCGGGTGCACACAGGTGGAGCCTGAGAGTCGATCGTCTGGATGTGGAACTTATTTGCCGATTCTCTGAACCACCCAGTCCTGCTGGCAGAGGGGACAGCGATTGTTCTGCTTCACCCAAAGGGACATGCAGCAGTTGTGGAAGGAGTGGTTGCACTCTCCCCATACAACTGAAAGACAGAGGAGACAGCAAGGGAGAGAAGCAATAAAAGCTGACTCAACTTTGGTTACACAAATCCCAGGAGCACATCCATGTATCATTTAATGGTGAAAAAACTGGTTGTTTTGTTTCAACTTCCTCCAATAAGCACATTGCTTGGCAGTCCAGTCAAGTTTAAATGGAAGGCCATATTTCAGTGAGCACAAGACTGACCGTGATTAGTGCCAATTACTCTGTGTTTAGTATGTACCAGTCACTGAACAGTTATGGTGGTCTTTGCGACACAGCACAATATACTGTAAATAAACCAACATAACTGACTATGTTGATAGATATTAAGTTCTGAAATTAATGTTCCTCATCTTTAAGGAATTGAGCAAATGAATTGGTTTTGGGGGTTTGTTATTATTAATACTGTTATAAAAGGTTTGAGTGATTTTGCACCTCAATCTAACAACTCTGGCAAAACACCTGGATTGCGTGTGTGAAATGTTGACAGTATATTAATTAACATGATGGCAGTGGAGGAAGTACTGAGATTTTTTACTTAAGTAAAAATACTTTGTAACATGAAAACATTATGCATTCAGAATTCTAAAGTACAAATTCATTGATGCATTGTGTACATCACTGACATTACAGCTGGCACAGGTGGAGCTAATTTAAGTAGTTCACATATTGCTAGGTAGAATTTCATAATGTATATGTTGATTATATTTTGTATTCCTAAGCTGAATCTGCAAAATAACTAGTAGCCAAAGTTATAAAATAAATGTGAGGCATTAAAAGTACAGCATTTCCCTCTTAAACGTAGTGAAGTCAAAAGTATATAGTAGCAAAAATTTAAGTACTCAATATCCTTTAATATTGTGCTTACGTACAGTACTTGACTAAATCAAATTACTTTAGACACCATTCATAAATGGTGTTTTATCACAACAGTGACACGTGTTAGAGTCTCACGCAAATACTATCATTTTGTCTTAAAGTTAGACATAAATAACCCCTCTTTCGCGGTGATAATTTGCTCATTGGGTCAATCTGTGACAACTAGCTAGTGTTAGCCGGTTACCAAATTAACCTGCTAACGCTAGCTTTAGTTGTATGGTAACTGAACACTGTTAAGTGTTTGTGCTGACATGGTCTTACCGACACAGTCCTCTTGTTTGTTTTCCGCCTGACATCGGAGACAAGCGTCTGCAAATCATGAAAAATGAATTTAAGTACTCAGCTAGAATTGCAGCTATTCGTGAAATATTAGCAACATTAGCTACAATAGCCAGATATGAGAACTAAGCTAAGCTAGCGGTTAGCTGTCTAACCCTAACAGATCCCCTGACTCACCCATCACTTGTACCCGACAAATGGCACAAGTATCACATTCAACGTCCCAGCTCCACATTGCTACAGCATTCCACTTCTTTAGGGAAAACATCTTGTCCCCGCCCGACTTAGAGCCTGAAGAAGTGCTGTGAGAGAGGACTAAACCCGGCTCATCGCCGTCATCCATCTCTGCTGCACGTTAACCGTAGGTAACGTTAGCTAAGCTAGCAGCTAAACAAGATGGACGAAACAGTTCAGTAATGCTAGCGCTAATGCTAACTGAATTAGCAGGTGTCTTCTCTCCATAGGGACAGAAGAGGGTGCTGCTTTATAGGATTTGTATCAGCTAACGGTATGCAATAAACACAATAGATAATACCTCATACCAGCTTTGAGTATTGACATCCATATCAAATTGACATATAGGAAAATGCATAATGCCTTAAAATGTTAAATATTTTTTTGTGCTCGAGCTTATTCAGGAATCTCTCAAATCCACTCACACATGAAGATGAGGGGAAAATGTTCAATAATGACAAGCCATTTACTGAAAACCTTCTATAGTGACCTGGTACCAAAGCAAGGATGTTAGATGTATGACTACACACAAACACAATCAGTCATTTTGGTATAAAGACTGATATCGAGTATGGGGCACAATGAAGGTCTAAAAAAAAAGGAGATAGAGTTCAGAGCAATCCAGAGATGGATATATGTATGTACTTGTCTACAAAACAAGCGTGTTTGTGTATTAGACAAGTGGGTGCTGTAGATTCCTTCAGAGGGATGACCTATAGAAGTATTAAGTGTAATTAATTCCACATGAAGCTTAAAGGGCTGCAAGATCCAAGCCTGATTATTTCTACAGGTGGCAAGTGACCTTCAGTTAAACCTTGATAATGTTTATAATGTATAATATTATATATTACACATATGTATGCCCAGCATTAAGCAGGCTCATTTTGGTAAGAGGCTGAACAGGGTCATTTACATCTTTTACTCTGTACATGTTTTGCAAAACAGGTCAGTGAGTATGTTGGAGGACTTCAGGAATTTGTCGTTTTAAGAAATAAGGCTGGGATGAAAGGTGTGAGGGTTAGCAAAGCAAAGCTAAACTTAAAGGAGCACTCAGAGATGTACACTTGTTTCCAAATAATAATGAAAAATAACTTGACCTTTCCTTCTATTAATGCTTTGTTCTGTATTATAAACTACTTTGGGGATCCATGTGGTTTTGGCTGCTATGCCATGGGGGACTTGGTTTGGCCAAGCCTGATGTTGTCCAGTATATTGGATATAGTTATATTTTTCTAACCTTTCGTAGGCCTGGGTATCAAATATGTCCTTGATTTATATTGGTTTTTGCCTTTTTGTAGTAAAACAAAAGTTTTTTCCATCTAAGCTCATTTCCACATTGCCTCACTGCTTAGAAAAGATATAGATAGCTACATTATACAGCAGCACAAAATCCATCACACCAATGCCTCGTGCTCTTCATAACGCCTCTCACATAAAATATAAATCCAAACAGGTTCCAACTCTCTCACTGGCTTTTATCTCGGCTCTTAAAATACTCGTATAAATTCTTGTGTTTGGCTTTGTGGAGAAACTCTAAAATTAGGAGAAGCATTGGCAAAGTGTTTTATTGTCAACTGTTTCAAACGGATACAGAAAAGACCATGGATGGAAAGCCAAATGTTTCATATGTATAAAAAGAACAGACATTGTACTGAAGCAGCACAGAAACATTCAGAAGAAAAGAGCTGGGGATGTGAAGATACCTTCGACTTTGTGCAACTACTGACCAAACTGGACAAGAGGAAAGAGGGCTTTAGATTTCAAAAATCAAACAACCTATGGAGTCTTCAAACAGACTGTCCTATATTCTGCTCTAGCTCTTCCCAAGCAGACTTGATTGGCAGGAAAACCTTTTGCAAGGCCTGTTGAATGTAAAGTAAAAACAGGTTCCAGACCCTGAAATCAGTTTTTGGTCTTGCATAAACCAGGACCTTTTCTGAATTTCTTAATTATTATGAAGTTCTCAAAAAGTGACATTAGTTGTGTGAGTGGACTATCAGCTGGATTTGTTATTCATCTGACAGTTTAATTTCCCTTTCAGTTTGGTCACACTGTATAACTTCTGGCCAAAGTTCAACTAGTGAGAGTCAACAAGGCCGGTGCCAGGTCACGTCATGGTTTTCCACATGCAGCTGTTCCACATCCTAACAAGGACTTTTTTATTTTGGTACCATGGGCAAGACAACAACCACCATAAGCAGAGCATAATTCAGTGATCAAGTAGATGCATATAAAAACCCAAACCATGTTCACCTTCACATGAAAATGGTCACACTACCAGAGGACATCACCACTAGTTCACTGGCTGTCATTAAAACTAGCAATGGAGTCAACATGCAAGCTCAGTACATACATATGCAGTATGTAACAATTATGTAATGCTGTAAATAGGTTTTTTCCCCTAACTTTTTATAAAACAGAGGTAAAGTTCATCCAATGACCAGTTTCTTATAATTACTTTGAATTTGTATTTTGGCTCTGATTAGGCAGTTCACTCACTAATAGTCTGCATTTGAAGACAGTTGGCGGCAGCTACAGCTTGGTGAGATGTGCACGCACGCACGCACGCACCTCAGTAACACTGCGTTAAGCAATCGACAAGTGGAGGTTTGGCAACAGTGACAACCACATACTGTACAGTCAGTAAAGAAACATAAAAAGCAGCCTGCCTCAAAGAAGCACTGTGGACGAAGAACCAAATGCTGTACCAGTATAGCAACACATTAAATCAGTGTAAAAAAAAAATAAAATAAAATAAAAAAATTCCTAGAAAAATGTATTGTTAAATATACAAGACATGCATGTTAGAAATATGATGGACCAAAGACGACGACAACAACAACAACAACTTCTAAAACAACTCATTTCCACAAGCATAAAAAAAGCTTAACCCTGTATTATCAGCAAATGTTAAATTGTTAAAATAAATTCAAGTTTCTTTTGTATCTTTTCAACACTTCACTGTTCAAAAGGGAAAATGACAGAAAACATTGCAGGAAACAAAAAGACAAAACCAGGACTGAAGGTGGATTGTTCATCAGTTTTCACCAGCAAAAAAAATGATTAACTGATTATTCAGTAAAATGACTGACAGGAAAACAATCAAACTGGTTACCACTTAAAAATTCTGTGATTTGGTTTCATAATCAGTTTCATATAATAAAATTAATATTCGTTTAAAAAAAACAAACACCTTTTTATCTTTATAACAACTTACAATTTCCCATTACTGTACTGATGCAGTCCAACTTCTGCAAGATACGACTTGGGATAACTCACTTCAGGGGCCTGATAGCTAATGTATCTGTTTAAACCTGTTTTGGCAGTGGATTGCTGTGAGTAACAGCTGTGGAAAAGGAAAAGTTAAAAATATAACAACTCACAGAGTGCTGCATTTCCACCTAATTACAAATGCAACATTACAGCAGCTGGAGCTGTGGAGCACTGCTGGTTTGGGAAAACAAGTGTTTGTTGGATGTCGTGACTGAATTGATGGGCAGTTTGTTCTTCTGATGGATCCCTCCATCATTTCCTTTGTAAACCACTATAAATATATTGTGATGCTCTGAACATGACAGCACAGATCTGATGTACACCGTACCGATACGATTCACAATCACAGGGAACAACTCACACCACGCTCATGTGCATCAGGATTCAAAACTGAATGCATGCAATCTGCTTGCCTAAAGTCACTAAAAAGTAGAGGATATGTTAGCAAAAACAAAATGAAACAAAAAAACAAATGATATTTATATATATATATATATTGCAATAATTTGCAACAGTTTGTCTCCATTTTTAAAACTGCTGTATTCAAAATACATTAATTATCTTTTCAAGTCAAACCTAAAAAAATGTCTTTGGTCAAGAAAAATATTTTAAAATCTACAGGCTATAAATGTTATTGTACAGGGATGAAACAAAAATGTACTCGAGATCATGTAACTGATCAAAAGGGGTAAAGCCGATACCAAGTATCAAATCATTGTTCACTTGGAGTGCTCCAAATGTTTAAAGTGCTTCTGCATTATTCCCTCAGCATTAATGTGAAAGAAACATCCATTAAAATAAGGCAGATTGGTTTGAACCGTACTCTGAAAATATACGCACACGTTTGTTCGGGGGAGAAAAGGATACTAAGAACAGAGAGAGTGTACTGGGACACAAATGGAGGACAGTCCTCTGGAAAGAATCTGATTATCAATCAACTCCAAAGATGGATGTCAGAGCAAAACAAAACACTGGGAGAGCATCATCACAGCTGTTGGTACAAAATTGGGTGAATAAAAGAAATTAGCAGCCTATTCACACACCATCTAACGATGTCTTTTTCATACAGCTGGATATGTAAACAAGGACATAAATTAAACCGAGGAAGTAGTCTCATTAAAAAGGGACCTACAACGCAGAGAAGTGGGAAGAGAGGAGGCAACATCAAAGAGTTTGTCTGTTTCAAGGACCGAGGAGAGGTCCTGGGAAAAGCTCGCAAACTTGTTCTGGTTTGTGTTCTTAGGCTGTCACTGCTGTAGTGGACTCATGACATCTAGGAGGTCAGGGTGTATTGTTCTTCTGGACACAAAGCAGGCGTTCTCGCTGGGATGAGCTTTAGGACTGTGGAGGCTCTCTGTGGTGTGCTGACACCTGCTGGTGTGGCTGGTTTCCTGCCTGGGTTAAGACGCTTTCCCCACTATCGGGTTGTCCCTGGGACAGAAAGGATTGGAATAAAATATCATTTAGGTGAGGTCATATACACAGACATGCATGTTACATATGTATTAAAGTGCCTATGTGGTATGTAGAAACAGCAGTGCAGACATACAGGCTGCCGTACTGCGCTGCGGTGTCGTTCCTGATGTTGTGCTGCCTCTGAAGTTCCTCCATGACGTTTCGCAGCTGCTTGAGTGTCTGAAAGGTCTCTTTGGGTTCCTGAATGGTGAACTTGGAGTACTCCTCCTGCTCCCGCTGAGGGCCCTGGTACACCGCCATACTGGCACATGCATCTACAGAGGGGCATTACATCATTATACACTCAATCAAAACTAGTATGTAAGATATCTGGGTAAAATGTTGGTTTTGGAGAACTTCTGATGAAGTACACTAGCTCTTTAAGCATTAAGACGGACACACATTTGTGTTGGCTCTGTACTCAAGGATTTCTTACACACAGATTTCAAGTTGTGGCAGCACTATGTCTTAAAAATAATTGTCAAATTGCAGATAAATTTAA